TATACGTATAGTGCCAGTATTCTGGTCAGACTTTGCTGAACGTGAATGGCTTAATTCAGACTGAAATACAATGTACATGCAGTTTGAGTTGATTAGATACAAACAACTTTTCAGTACTGTGTAAATGAAATATATCCTGTTCCTGACCTGTGAGAGGTCAGCAGGGAAGAAGGTGATGATGACCATCTTGTCCCCCGCCATGTTGGTTCTGACCGTGATCTCCCTCCAGTGCCCTCCCTCGTGGAACAGGATGCAGGCCGGCAGAGGAGAGGACCGGATGTACTGCTGGTACAGCTGTCACAACATATGGTTTAAAATAATTCATTAAAAAAATATCATAAACATTGATCATTGGACAGTTTGAATGGAAACCAGATCAGGAGTACTGGTAGTCCCCACAAGGCTATAGGAAGCAGAGCTACCACCCTCTTTGAGATACATGTACTCATTAACTATGATTATAGTAGTTATGAATAATTTTATAAAATACATGTATGATTGCTATATGCCAAATATTCTAATCAGAAGGATGCCTGCTATGCCAAATGTGCTTTGGAAGACTTCTAGCCATCCCCCCCCTGCCCTGTGGTACAGCAGAGACGCAGGTTATATAATCTCTTTGTTGGAAAGAGAGAATGTTACGTACCCTAGCTACCTGTAGATGTGACTCAGGTATGTTGACACACCTGTCTGCTGGGACACAGATGATGTTATATCCTGTGGGGAATAGGGAGGTACGGACAATTAGACTATATACCTGTAGAGCTGTGCAGGTACAATGAAAAGTGGAGGCAATTTCCATTGCAACCAGCACTAGTGGAGTTATGCACAAAACATAGTTTGTTGTATGAGGATATTTGACACATACGTCTTCCTCTGCCAGAAAACAGTCCCACTGTCTTCTCATTCCCATCCAGTCCCTTGTTGATAGAGAAGTTGGACTTGTTTCTGTAGCCTTCTGTGATGGGCTGAACCAGAAAATATTCTTGTTAAAGTAAGTTTGGACAATTTGAGACTAGATTATTGCAGTTTGAACATGTTAGTTGACTTGAATGGATCTATGCATCTACACACATTCATGGGTCCTGTTCAAATAGATAGGTCAAAGAGGTTCAGATAGATGAATGACACCGGCATTAAAAAAAGACTCACAGAGGGTTTGGTAGCATCCAGTGGACAACACATGCCGCTGTTCTCCTCAGCCTGCCTCATGACGGGTGAGTCTGCAGGACAGACTGCTGACAGCTTCCTGGACAGAATCTTCAACACATGGGCTGCTTCATGGTATTTCCACTGAAGCATAATGAATGCAATATGAAATATACCATGCACTCAATATTCCATACACTAGATAGCAAAGTCTGAAATGAAGTTTCATATCATATACTAGTATTGGTGTTTAATTCTTGGAGGTAACAGGGGATGTACTATTATTTTTATTGATATAACGTTATATATAATGTTAGCCTCAATGTTAAACAAGACACCCTTGAATGTGCTAAAGTAAATGTTTACCTTTAGTTGGTCTTCATATGCCATTCTCGATCTCCAGAGCGGTATAACCTTCTTGAGTAATCTGGGCAAGAAAAATCAATTGTCACTCCGCCTATCCAAATCTTCAAAACGCACAAATCAGGAGAAAAAAATTATGTATAGAGGGAATAAAATCATCTTACCTATCCTGAATTCTGCCTTCGTCTTCGACATTCAGCTGTCGCTCTCTGGAATTCAAGGAGCACTCTAACTTCCTGAAACTACAGCAATATACTGAGTATAGTATAACGTATTTTTTAAAAAATCAAAATGTCATAACTCATATATGAACTTTTTGACGTATGAGTTGTGATACATAATTTGTATGTGAAACATATTATTGGACAAGTTATTCTAAGGCTGAAACATTAACTTGTAAGCCGGCAAAATTTCAAAACGCAAATTATTATGATTTTTTGCGACATAAAGAATGCCCCCCTCCCCCAACCACCGGTGCCAAGCCGATATTAAAATGAACAGTACCTTGCAATGTACCGGGTCTTTACATATCTTGTGATTACGCCTATCCTTGTTGTTGAATGCTGAAAAAAGAGGCATTTTTGTACTGTAGAGGTTACGCCAAGTAAGTCGATCGGAAGGCGTGAAGCACACGCGAAAAAATTTCTACAGGGGGCCGCCATCTTTGTTATTGTGGGACATGCCATTCAAATATGGGGGTGTTACACTCTAGGTTCACAATAGGCACAGTGTTTGCTTCTCCTACAGCAAAATTATAGATAGATAGATAGATAGATAGATAGAATGGTTTATTTCAAATTGAAAACTCCAAACATACACAATTTCAATTACCATCACATTGACAACAGACTCGCAGGCAGCCATACTGGCTGCCTGAATTGCTCCGAGGTCACAAAATGTCATTAAAATATGGGTATTATTGTTAAAAACTTATTACATATTATTAAATATTGTTAAAATTTATAAATCGTAAAATATTCCTCTGCTTTAGAAAATGGATTTATAGTCAATATACATGTTAAACGTTACGCAGTAAAAAAAGGCTGTTGTACAACATTAGCAACAGATTACTCTTACATTGCCGTTTCAGAGTTATTCAGTAACTTAACCATGTATGGTAGTGCGCTGTTTCTAAAACGTTCGGTTCTTGTTCTAAAACAGTCAATCTGGTTACTGGACCGTGTTGTACGTCCACTGATGTCCCCACGGCGGGGAGGGAACCAATGCCGGTAGTCGGGAGATTGTAAGAGTTTTTTGGCAAAAGTCAAGCAGAGGTGGTCTCGCCGTCGTTCCAAAGTCTCGAGGCCAAGTAGGAGACAGGCGTCAGCATAGTTAGTGTAGTTTTTGCCAAGGATAGTTCTGACGGCACGGCGTTGGATTCTCTCCAGCTGGTTACGTTGTGCTTGTGTAAGGCCTGGATGCCACGCTGGTACTGCGTACTCACACACTGGTCGGACGTAGCTTGTGTAGATTGTGAGTAAGTCCTCTATAGATAATCGGAAAGTCTTCAGTTTTCTAAGTAGGAACAGCCTCGTGCCGCCTTTCTTCACCATGTGTTCCACATGAACGTCCCATCTGAGGTCTGCTTGCAGGTGCAAGCCCAGTAACTTCGCCACTTTCACTTCCTGTAGGGGGTGGTCGTCTATTTTGAGTGGTGGTAGTGGTGGTACAGTTCTCGAAAAGTGTAGGTACATAACCTTGCACTTTTTCGGGTGAAGCTGCATTCTGTGGACCGTTGACCAGTTATTCAACTCGTCGAGATCGTGTTGGATCGTAGAGTTCCCGCTTATCTGACGACTCTCGATCAAGTTCAAATCGTCCACGAATTTCCATCGATTTGATGTCGCGTTTTCAGCGGCGCTGTTTATCAAGGCCAGGAAAACTAAGGGCCCCAAAACAGTCCCTTGGGGGAGACCACATGTTGTCTCGCTCCATTCCGAAAAACAGTCCTTGTAGCGCACCCGCTGTTTTCTATCTATTAAAGAACCAATTGAATCTATGTCTATATATGTTGTACCTCAGTAGGTATTGGAGGTTGAACTTTATATGTGCTGCAACTCTGTCAACAGTATGACAGATGATGACATGGGAGGAGTTTGCAAGAGAAGAGGGAACACACCACAGGAATTTCATACACCATTTATTGACAATCATTTATAGACAATCTATTTTTGTATTACATCAAATGTTTTTACATAAATATTGTACATGTACAAACAAATAGCATAATATTGAATTCATTGCATGTTGGTAACCTGAAACTTTGTTTTATAAGTGTTAAACTACTGACAAAGACTTCATTATCTTCTCATCATCCCCCTTGACACCAGCCTGGACATCTTCACTCTAAATGACAGATAGATGATGTAGAGATTCCTCTTGTACCACTCTCTGCAAAAAAAGGAAGATAAGAAAGAAATTTAGTTTATCTTACCAGTAGTTATATTTGTAATGATTGAACAATAAAACAACTGAAAACAAGTCAGGGATAAACTGTCTGTGGATGGTTGAATACTAACTGGACTATGAGAGGCAAAAAAGACTGTGATGTCAAATGCTCTGTTACATCTACACTTCAGGATCTGAAGGGACATATGCAATTCTGGTACATGCACATCCAATTTACTTTCCTGAAATGTTATATTGACATTTTATATCCCTATGTCAGACTTACCGCTGATACTGCAGTTGGCTATGTTGATGCTCAGTCAGAAATGTCCTGTAAAACTCTGACATGTCCTCAGCTGGAGGCATTCTTTTACTTCCTGTAGGGAGAAACATGGTCAGATTTTACAGATACGCAATCAGCAATGCCCTTGTAAAGCTCATCTTAGTTATAACCCTCCAGGCAGCAGTATAATTCCATGTAATGTTTAATAGCAGGCTGTGGATGCAAAAAAAGGACTCAAAATGAATTTCATAAAGACTCACCATCAGCACGAACTGAATTGCAATCCTCCTTTTCCAACCAGCTCCTGATAAAGTCTGCCTTCTCCTATAAGTCATGATAACAATAAGACAAGATAATTAAAATCCAAACATTTGATTAAATAGTCATCATACTGATTGACTCATGATCACTTCTCACATGAGATGAATACTTGGTAAACAAAGTATTATTCAGATTGTGTCTGGTAATCTCCAAGCAGATATATGCAAGGACCTGGCTCATTCTTGGTGTTTTGCTCAATGTTTTTTGCAACACTTAGTATGCCTTTTCAGTGTTGAATTCCTCTGAATAGTTTTAAAAAAGTGCAATACATGTATGAAAAAAAATGCAAATGTTACAAAAACATGAGCAGAACACTGAGAATGGATCCTCCCATCTGCTTGGAGATCAGAGTCAGGTAACATTACCTTGTTGAACTGCTGGTTGTGGTTGGACCAGAAGGCCTGGTTCCACTCCTGTGTGTCATCCCTCAGCTGTCGGAGTCTCTCCTCTGCTGCTGTCTCTCCTGAGGGAACCCTGAACTTGATGGGCCTGAGGTTGGAGCTGGGGTCTGCTGGGCCGATCCAGTCGTGGGTCATCTGGGACTGGGCTGGGGGCTGGGCGGCTATACCGGGAACATGGATCTGTGAAACAATCAAATTATGAACACTGAAGTAAAAACCATGTTGATATGACTCATTGTGAAAAGGTAATAAAATTACACAACAGTTAACATTACCTTATCTTTAAATGTGTGTCATCATCATTTACCTTTTTAGGTACATGTAACTGTATAACTTAAAGCTTATCTGTGTGTTGAATTTGAAAATGGTACATTTATAAGCAAGCTGGGAAATACTCTACATGTATAACGTATAAGGCTTTGTTCTTGCTTTTGATTTATCTTTTTTTTAACCATTATAATTTAGTGAAGCCCTACGTCAAGCTAGCTGCACAGCTACAGAGTTGACTCTGCCAACGGTACTTGTGCTACATAGATGTATACAAAGGGTTTTCATTTTACTAATAACAGTTACATGTATTGGACCATCCTGCTACTAGTATGGCGTACTGTAATGTGTAGTTACCTTCGTCTGTCCTTTTCTCCGGACAGCCGGCCGGTGTTTTCTGGCCGCAGCGCACGCGTTTCTGGCTGTACAGAAGGTTCGAATCATCTTGGCCGTCTACTCTGACTTATAAGAAAGCATAAGATTACAATTTTTGAGGACCTGGGTCGTGCCAGCGCATCCTATCAGACGATATCTGACTGAGAAAGATGCAGCTCCACAGAAGTCCCGCTCCCAAAGATTTCCGGTCAAAGGTTGTCCGACTAGTCCAGTGTACTTTAGGGGATTCTTTTCATAGCCTAAAAAATATTAGCATGATTTTAAACATCTTAGAGAAATATTTAATACGTCTGCATAGTGTGATAAAATTAGTTCACATTAATATATGTTATATTTATGATACATGTTCTATTAAATCGTTTTATTAAGAGCTTATACTGAATACAAAGTTCACCGAATTCCCCTACTCAAAAATGATCACATCCATACTTCCAACATGGCTTCCAGAGAGGCTGGTATGTGGAGTTTTGCTTCTTCTTAACGTGATTTTAGGATTGTTGGTCACATTTACGGACAGATATACCTCTCAGATGACGGTATCATTTTACTAAAAAGCCATCTTCAATTGTATTCTTTGCTTGTTTCAAGGAAACGCGGCATATGTGGAATTTAACATAATGGGGAGGGGGGTGGCAGATTTGTGTGTCTCATCTGATTTTATTGAAAGATGTCCAAAAAGTCTTTGAAGGTATAAAGTAGTAAAAGAATGTTTTGGTACTTTGTGTTTTGTTTGAAGAAAAGTGTATTTCTGCCTGAAGTGGTGTTCAGAATCTCTATGTTTCCAAGATTTTGCATTTATTTCCATGGTTTTGTTCCTATTTGCAGAGAGAATGGGCAGAAAGAGGAGCCCCAGCAGGCATAGTGAGGACAGGAGTGAGTAACTAATTAACCTTCTCCCTGCCAAAGTAGACGTTTGGCACCTTATTTGTATACAGGCTTAGGCAGCAGGGAGAAGGTTAAACAGCACAGTTACTTTTGCAAATGAAGGCGAACAAGTAACATTTGTGCATTTCAATTAGATTAACTATTTTAGTATCAAACTTAGAGAGGGGCGAATATCATTAAATATTAAGATGATATGGCTTATGTAAGGCAAAGCAGCTTGTACCTGAAACATAGCACTTGAGATTATCACTGATAATGTATCTTGGACTGTCGGCTTTACATTTCCATCCAAACCATGTGTACAGGTGTATGATTTTATGTTAAAGAAGAATTTCTTGTGTGCAGGACATGTGAAAAAGAAGAGGAAACATGAAAGAGACAGCAGCAGCAGTAGCAGTTCAGACAGCAGCGTGTCCAGTTCCAGCAGTGAAGGTACATCACTACATGTGCTATCAGTTACTATTGCAGTCTACTCCATTCTAGTCTACTCCTCTGATTATCCTGCCAGATAGTTTGGCACTTGATTACATCATGTCAGTTGTTTTGGGTATGGAATATTTCTTGGAAGCAGTTGAACTTTTGAATTGCCCATCCTCAATACCATGCTGTAACGTTACAAAAAAACTGTGACAACTCAAAGCCAATCGGAGTTCTTGCTTATGGACATGTGTTTGTTCTTTTCTTCTACCATGATGTAAAAATGTATGGTCAGAGGGAAGGGAATGAATGCCCTAACTGTGCCTTTTTTTTTCAGAAGACAGACGTAGGAGGCACAAAAAGGACGGAAGGTCTCGACCAAGCAGCACATCATCATCATCATCATCTTCCAGTTCTTCACATAGCTCAAGCTCAGGTATGATGGGTCAGTACAGGCAGCATTCACATTGACTTAGGAATTGCAAGTCCTGCAATTAATGCAGTCCTGTGACATTTTTTTGTCTTGTTCTTTATTAATATAACAGATGATGAAAGGAAGAAGAGGAAGAAGGACAAACATAAGAAGGTGAGTTGGGAACAGTAACATTATAATGTAGTAGTAGGTACCACAATACATGTACTATGAATAGAAAAGAGTGTATGTGCCAGGTTTAAGTGAAGAAACTTTTCATGCAAGTCTAAAAACAAAGTCTCTTTTCAAGACATTTTTTACAAAAAGCAGGAATACATGCTACATAGTTTGCGTTTTTTCACTAATTAATCCTCGGATGTTAAATGTAAAGCTCATTCTAACGATATTTATTTTTTATGATCCTCCCTGAGTCACCTTCTCCCCCTCCTGATCACACACATGCCTGCTGTCATGTGAGCTTCCTGTAGACTGAGAAGAAGAAGAAGCATCGAAGCAAGAAGAAATCCAAGAAGTATGCTGAAAGTAAAAGTAGCCGTCCTGTGCAGCTGTCAAAGGTGATACATTTTGCGTACATTGAACAAAACTGAAGCTGATCACAGTGCTTTTTTTCTTACTCAGTGGTCTCCACATAACAAGGCCAGCATGCTACTGCAAGGTTACAGGTTTATCTAGATCTAGAGTGATGGGACATTTCATTTGTTTGTATCCGTATAGATTTTACATGTTGAATCATTTTTTAGTTGAAATCCTTTAAGTCACCAAGTGCCAAGCATAGATAAGTGGTGTTGTATTTTGCCTGACTTGGCTACAGAAGTTACATTTACCATGTCATCAAAAACTGTTGTGCACTTTTCTTATTGACACAAATGTAGTACATGAAAGACAAGAAGGAGAAGGAAGAACAGAGAAGTGTTATCTCTGGCCACAAAATCAAACTCAAGGTCAAGAAGTCCAAAAAGGACAAGGAGGTAAGTATTGCTGTAGGTTTGTACATGTTTATAATCCTGCTTCATTTGTAAACGTTGAAACCATTACTGTATTTCTTTAGACTGTTTGTGGCCAACCAATCCTATAGTGCAGTAGTGATACATCTCAAATGCATATTTGCAGTGTCATAAATTCATGAGGTCACAGCAAAAATAAAACCATGAACATTTAAAGATTTGCAGCAAAAGCATATGAAGGTTTGTTTTTCTACATTCTTGTTGCAGCGAGACAAGAACAGGGCCGAGTTGTTGAACTTCCTGAACTCCCAGTGAGGCAGAGGATCTGGTCGGGGTTTGGGGCTACACAACTGTAGGATACAGATGATAGCAGGATGGCACAGATGTCTTTACATGATGTATGTTGTGGTACAACTGAAGACTGTATTGTTCAGAGTCACCTACTTCAAATTGATTGTGTAGGAAATGAAACATGCTGCCACTTGGGGACTCCACATGAAGTGTGCTGTGCCTTGTGATATTGCTGGACAAAGTGTGTCAGTCTGCCATGGACCGTTCTATAAGTTGAGTGATGTTGCTTAGGGAAAGTTGAGTAGCAAGATATATCATAGACAGGGTAACTTTATAAGATATCAAATTATCAATGGCATACACGTACATGGCTGGAATGTTGTTACACTTGTGCAGGATTAAGATAAGATGTAAAATTAGACAGGATGTGCTGGCTTCCTTGGAATAAAACTTATGTGGTAGTTTGGTTGAACTTACAGCATAAATTGTCATTTTCTTCAAAAATATTGTTTTTTTACACAAATTTGTGTTGGGTACAGGAAAATTAATCTTCAAGCAGATCTTTCAGTGTTGGAAGACAGTATCCAATTGACCAGTCTGTAACAATTTCCCTCCAAGCAGATATTTCGGTGAGGGAAGACAGTATCCAATTGGCCAGTCTGCAACAATGTGGCCAGTCTGGCCATTTGGTTACTGTTTTCCCTCACCGAAAGATCTGCTTGGAGATTAAAGGAAAATTGTAAAGCCTTCTGAAGTTATTTTTCCAGAGTATTTATCAAACTTAACTGGTATAGGTCATCACGGTGCAGTGTTGGAGGCTCAGTGTTGGGGGTGTTTCATACACTCTGTAAAGGGTGTGACAGATGATGATAATACATGTGCAGAATGTTGTGTGATTTGTCATAGAGTAGAGAAGACACCATTACTCCATGTGTTAGGCATTTTACTTGTCATCAAAACACACTACTTACAAAATAGAAAGGTCAGCCTGATGTGGCTGTGGGTGGCACAGAATAAAGATGTTAGCAAGTTAACTATCAACATATTTTTGTGACCGTTGAACATGTATATACACATGTATATACTGTACATTCCACTTAAAATTCCCAATCTAGAAACAGCTGTTGAGATGGAAGATAATAATGTTCTTTTACAGCCTTGCTTATCTGACTACTGACTGTCAAATAGGTTAACCTGGAAGTCAGGAAACCTCACCTTTCGTCTCAACATCTGTTTAGAGGTTACACAATTCCTGCCCTTAAAAAGTTTATCAGATCAACTGGATGGTAGTCTTCTTCCACAGAAAATTTAGATATCTAATCTTCTTAAGAGTCATTGCACGAGAAAACCAGGCAGAGGCCGGAAGATGGGGGTCGGCCAAATCGGCTCATACTTTGTATGTGAGATAGGTATGAGGAACTATTAACAGCCATATAGTTTAAACCCTCCAGGTATTTTTCGTTATGGAGTTCTGGGACCCCCCTCTGAGACCCTCAAAAATCTAACAATTTATGGCTGAAAATTACTGAAATTACAATGGATACCACGGTAATTCTGATGATGATATGAACATGGGATGTCTTTTGTCACATATCTTGGGTCTTCTACTTTTACAAAACAAAAATTGAAGATGCAACATTAAAGTTAAAAGGGTATATCAGGGGGTTACCAGAACCAATGAAAACAGAATTTTCATCTTTCTAAATTTTAGTCATTTTTAAGTAGCTTTTTCTCCGTGACGCGGCAAATTTGATAAACGGTTTTACCGTTGCTGGAGAGAGGAACATCTGCTGATTCAAAAACAAGTGTCGTTTAATTGGGCCACGCATAACGCGGGCCGTGAACGAAGGGTCTTTATGGGGGTTTTCCGGGTTTTGGACCATAATAAATTAGCTAACAACGTCTCTTTACGGGGTAAATCATGGACATTTTTTGTGCAGCTGCATGGGATCAATGGACAATTGTTGAAAAATGCTAAAAATAATTAGAAATATTCGTTGGGGCTCCACATGGGGGATACAAGGATACCTAAAAAGCGAATTTAAATTGATTTTACACAATTTATCACATTTTATTTCTAATTTCCATTAGTAACTATCTTTCAAAATTAATTTTATGCATTCACTTTGTGCTAAATATTATAAAGGCTAAGTATGGGGTTCATCAGAACACCATGTGTGAAACCAGCTACCAAAAAAAAAACACAAGCCACATGGGTGCATACACGTAGATACAAGTACTCCAAATGGACAATCTAGCAAGAGGACTAAGAATATGTGGCATGTAAGCTAAATATAACAGTAAAAACAGTCAAATTCAACTAAAGGCCACTGAAAATACAGGTTTGCCAAATATACTCAGGCTTTCATTATTGGATTAAATGGACTAGTTAGCATTTACATATACAGGAACATCTGGTTATACTTATAAGATAAGGAAACCAATTCATTAAAAATCCGTCATCTAATAACAAATCAGCAGTAAATTTTACCAAATAAAAATCCCAGACCAGTTAGAATCGCGTTACAATATAATGTCAATCAATTCAAATGAGAAAAGTATCTCCATCCTTGACTGTACCATCATCGACTATTCCTTGATATATTTATGACAATTCAGGCCTAAATTACTGGATATTGTCATTATGCAAGCATTGGATTAATTCAATTTTTCAAGTATCCTTATGCCCCCCCCCCATGCAGAACCCCCTTAAACCGGCATAATTTTTGACCCAAATCTATGCATGCATGGTTTTCCCCCAACTACACAAAAACGGCCATATATTGCCCTTCACTGCGACATTTTATGATCGATTTGTATGATCTAATAGACCCATGGCCCATTTATGTGTGATTTGTGGTCCAGTAATTAGACCAGACTTGTTTCTGAATGAACTGAAACATGTCTTCTATCCTGCAAGGATAGTGTTCCTGTTTCTGGGGAAAATTAAAATCAAGAGAGATGAAAAGTCTCATTTCATGATGTAATGTGCTAAAACTAAAAGGTTGTAAACATCGAAGAGGAAAGAACAATTTAAAAGCACATAGCAAAACACTTTCATTTTCTTATAGCACTGGTCCTATTTTGAAAATAGACCATTTTCTCTAGATCTACAGGTCATTGTGCGCACGTTGACATGTAGAAATTTGTTTTAGTTTTCCACATGTGTACTTTTGAGACTTTGGCAAATGAGAAAGAAAAACAAAGTTGTACTAATATCTAGGACAGCTCAACTTGTACCTTCTTTTGGTGTATGAGTGTCTTTGCTTGAATCGGAGGATATTAGTTAGTATTAATATGTTACATCTAGTAAGTAAATTATTATCAACTCTAGTTCTCTTCTTCACAAGTTCCGAAGAGAACCCCACTTTCTGTCTATGCACAGATAACACAACAAGGTATAGGGTAGTGCGCACCGTGGAAGCACGAATGACCGGGGGAAGGGAGACGGGATGGGGGAATGGGATTAATTAGAGGGGGAGTGGCTACAGTACCATCTGTGCGCCGACAGAAAGTGGAAAAACTAACTTATTGTAGATCACAGATGTATAATATGGTATGTTTTAAAGATGTAAGAATTAAGTATGAAATGAATTTGAATGACTTTGTTTCACTTAGATGATTAGCAGTTAGAATATTTAAATCAAGATTTGGCTAATGACGTTTACAATAAATATGCACAGTTCTCCTGATACATTCCAAATTTTCATGCTCCCGCATCCCAGACAAGTCAGTACAAACCAGCCCTGGCAGACTTTTTGCATTTTTGTGTTTTATTTTTGCAAACATAAGTTTTGTAAAAAGAAATGCCCGGGGCGGGCGATTGCCACATTTGCGAAGCTTGCAAGAGCGTCTCCAACAAATACACTTTTGGAACGCCGTACAAACTAAAATTCTCAATCATAATATACTAGTATATGATTAAAACCAACCTCCAGACTACATTGAATGTATACTTTCAGTGCTGTTATTTTCCAGCTTTGGTAATCACCTTGTTGTCATATGGTCTTAACGGCATTTACGATATGCTCAGTTCATTTAAGATGTTTTCTAAACAATCCAAGTAAAAAGCCTTTCATTTCATGATAATTTCGTAAATAGCAAATTATACAAGCTGAAAAGACGTTCTAAATAGAAAATGCTAAACTGTTCACTGTTCAGAAAGCCAAAGTGGGAAGAATGCCCCTCTTGAGTATGAGTGGATTTCAAAGACCTTCCTATCTTCCGACCTACTGCTGACTTATACAGCGATCCTAAATGGCCTGAGTAATTTTTTCAGTGGCCTTCAGTTGAATTTGCCTGTTTTTACGGTTGTGTTTAGCTTTATTCTTAGTCCTGTTGCTATAGTGTTCATTTAGAGTACTTGTATCTAAGTGCATGCACCCATGCGGCTTGTGTATATGGTAGCTAGTTTCACACATGGTGTTGTGATAACCCCCATACATAGCCTCCATATTATTTAGCACAAAGTGAATGCACAAAATTAATTTTGAAAGGTAGTTACTAATGGAAATTAGAAATAAAATGTGATAAATTGTGTAAAATCAGTTTAAATTCGCTTTTTAGGTATCCTTGTATCCCCCATGTGGAGCCCCAACGAATATTTCTAATTATTTTTAGCATTTTTCAACAATTGTCCATTGATCCCATGCAGCTGCACAAAAAATGTCCATGATTTACCCCGTAAAGAGACGTTGTTAGCTAATTTATTATGGTCCAAAACCCGGAAAACCCCCATAAAGACCCTTCGTTCACGGCCCGCATTATGCGTGGCCCAATTAAACGACACTTGTTTTTGAATCAGCAGATGTTCCTCTTTCCAGCAACGGTAAAACCGTTTATCAAATTTGCCGCGTCACGGAGAAAAAGCTACTTAAAAATGACTAAAATTTAGAAAGATGAAAATTCTGTTTTCATTGGTTCTGGTAACCCCCTGATATACCCTTTTAACTTTAATGTTGCATCTTCAATTTTTGTTTTGTAAAAGTAGAAGACCCAAGCTATGTGACAAAAGAAACCCCATGTTCATATCGTCATCAGAATTACCGTGGTGTCCATTGTAATTTCAGTAATTTTCAGCCATAAATTGTTAGATTTTTGAGGGTCTCAGAGGGGGGTCCCAGAACTCCATAACGAAAAATACCTGGAGGGTTTAAACTATATGGCTGTTAATAGTTCCTCATACCTATCTCACATACAAAGTATGAGCCGATTTGGCCGACCCCCATCTTCCGACCTCTGCCTGGTTTTGCCTGGTTTTCTCGTGCAATGACTCTTAAAGTCATGTAGCTCTATATCTCCATAACTTAACACTTCATAGAAATAAAATATAGAAAAAGCAGAAATAAAGATGCCAAAAAACTACAACCATCTTATTGGCAGAAATATATATATACATGTGTAAAAGTGATGAAATTCATTTAGCAAATTACATACCAGTGAGTATCACCAAAGTGTTTTTACAAGAACGTAGGAGTTGGATGCCAGTTTGCTCTCACCAATGTTTCTCTCTAATGTGATGGCTATATACTCCAATGGATCATAGGGGTAGAATTGGAGACTACCGTACACAAAAAAGTGATAGGCACGAGCTAAAAATACAGAAACAAGTTCATAACAAAGGGACAAGCACATACAAAGCTCTGAGAGAAGACTACTGTTCTTCAGTGAATTCATAAGGCACAACAGTTTTCATATATTTTTATACACAGTAGAAAATGCGACAACATAAAAAGATACAGCAGAAAAAAATAGTTCCAGTGATAGGTACTACATGTATACTATATTACAACAGACATAATGATGCTATTATCATTGAAGGCTTAGTTTTTCTGCCTCAGAATGTAACCAGAGGCTGCATGTTTCCTGAGCGACTTGGAGGCGACCTTGTCCTCCAGCAGGAGTCTTCGGGAGGCTCGTGGGGAGGGTGTAGGGGCGGGGCTCCGGTCCAGCTGATTCCGAAGTGGTGTGAGAGAGGCTGCCATCTAGCAAAGGAAACAGGATCACATCATGCTAAGAATTGACAAGACTGACTTATGTGACAATTGACTAGTAAGACTGGCATATTTCACGCCAACAAGGAGTCCATGACTAACTGATGTATAACCTTTTTCCTTTATACATGTACCAAGGTATGTACAATATCATAGCATTGTGTATGCAACTGTTCACTAGAGCAAAATAAAATGTTTCATTGAAATAGAAAACCTTTGCTTCATCCTTGTGTGGCCTGAAGAGAACCCTGTCAGTTTTGGTGACAACTGCTGGCTGCTCCAGAAGTACCTTCTTAGTTCTCTCTGCTTTCCCAATAACTGCTGGAATGGTCTGGGGAGGGGCAATCACAAAAAAAAATGTTAACAAAGTTGTAATAGGGTAGAGTGCAAAAAAATGCTTACAAATAGCCATGCCAGCTATACACTAGAATGAAAACCTGGACATTTTTCATACCTCGTTTCATGTTGATAGTGTACAGTACTGAGACTCACCTTGATCTGTTGTCCTAAGGTGTGCATGGAGTCCCTGCATCTGTCCAGGAGACTCTGATCATCTGAATCAATGAAATGGAATGATGAAGAACATTGATCAATTTGATGTGTTGAACATATAACTTTCACAATAGATAAAACATGCACATTATCAGATTCAGACAAAATGATCCATACAAAAGGAAACAAAATATAATGACATACCTGCTGTATTGTGGTCCTCAGATAGGACTATAGAACTTTTCACGACTGGGACATAATTATCCTGTTAAAAAGTATACATAATGATATACAAGTGAATATGTCAACGCCACCATCGTGTATTGGTTTCACCTAGCACGTCCTTGGTTTCACTAATTCCTTGGTTTCACAAAATGTTATGCTTATAAATAAGTTGCATCCTACAACTCTACCTTTCCTCTAAGGTTGCCAGTTTCTGTTACAAAATCTCTAAAAGGCAGTTTGGAAAACATAACGATATTGCCCCCCCCCCATCTGCTTGGAAATTATACAATATCAGGGCGTTGCTAGCAACAAATGAAGGGAAGACAAACCAGTGCGGCAGCCTGGGCCCTCAGTTTCTTGGACAGTTGTTTGGTTATTTTCTGTGGACAAATCTTCCTCTTCCTTGTCGTGCTGCATATAAGATTGTCCAGTTCCTGCTCCGGTGTTGTCTCCTGCTTCTCATTCTGACTTGCCTGGGGATCTGTATGAACTATGGAAGAACAAAATCCATAATTTGTTGTCGCTAAGACCAAGGAGCTTTTTATACTTTTAACCTCCTTGCTAAGACCCAACCACTGGCTGTATCATACACTTTTTCGTCAAAAGTGTACAATCGCCGATCCTATATCTTACAAACAATACCTCTGGAGTTAACGAATGTCTATGCGGCCACAAATATAAGGTAACTGATCGAAAACAGAGCACAAACGACAACAAAAATTGTTTTTTTTCTTACCTGACGTTTGGGGATGACTTTCCGCCATCTTGAAATTTTCCCGCTTACGAATGACGCAGGCGCAGTAATGATATTTTCAAGGGTTAAAGGTCAACACAGTTCAGTGGGGTGCGTTTCACATACATATTTTGTTCAAAAGTTGGTTTTGATTCACGGTTTTCGAGATGGTATCATAAATTATCAATTACATTTAGAGATTGCAGATGTAAAGGAAGAAGACTGGGCAAGGAAATGGAAGGCTACATCGATTGTCACTGTCACATTTCCGCGGAGGAGTTTAATGAGGTAGGGAAGGAACAGAACAGAAGGAAGAGATCTCAGAATCAGATCATCTTCAAGTTTCTTCATCACTTTCCATCCTGTTCTAGTACTTCTAGCTCCAGTATGCTCCTCTGATCGCTTTACTGGTGAGTAGACAACAGGGAAGCGATCATAGCAGCGACTAAGTTGATATCATTCAGCATAACATTATTGTACACAGTACATTGTTACACTGCTATTAGGCATAAAGGAGTATTCATACGTTTTTAGCATTGCCTCTCATTTATATCTTTTTAAGGACCTGGATGAAGTTATAACAAGAGCAAAAGAGGTGAGTTGAGATATGTAATGTTCATGTTAATTGATGTTGGCAGTATATGAGAACTGACAATTTAGGACATGCATTATGGCTGATATGTTATAACAGTTACTATTGTTCACTTTGTTCCATAAGTCTTGGAGATATGTAAACCCTTAAGATTTATAAGGTTTTGTCATTCCTCCCAGGCTGGCATCAGTGCAATTGTTGCTGTTGCAGAGTTTCCTTCTGAAGCTCCCAGGATTCTTAGCCTGTCTGAAAAGTGGGTGAAGAACTTGAGTCTTGTACTTATTTTTATCAGTGGAGATTCTTTGGCTGTGCTCTTGCAGATGTTTCTGTGTACATTAAGTGTTGGTCAACCTAATACATGATGATGTACCGTTAGTATATGTAATATGGTTACTTTCTGAATTTCTTTTCTTTAATTCATGAGATTCTTATTTCACAGATATAAGGACTTTATTTTCCCATGCCTTGGGGTCCATCCTGTCCAGGTAGGGGTTTTCACATAACACCAGTTTTTTTTTATTTTAATGCATTGTTAACCTTTCATTTGTATATTTGACTATTCATGGGCAGCACTTCAATAAATTATCAATAATCAATAAAAATGTTACAAAAATATGTTTTCTTTTTCATACAGGCTGAACCACCTGACTCCCAAAGAAGTGTAACTTTGGAGGTACTGTAATGATTTTTTTTAGTAGATTTGTTTATGCTATG